TAGTCTGCTGAGCTATCTGGCCAGCCCTGGACTTTTCTTTTTAAACACTTTGGTTTTTTTTGGCTCTGAATGACCTCAGGGCAAGTTTGGCCTGCTTGAGTTGTGGGGATCGAACCACAGCAACCTGAGCCTGACTACTTTGTTGAAGCAGCCACTTAAAGAACTGAGCTAAGGGGCAGGCCTCCTGACTTTTCTTTTTAAAGAGCACTTTTTAGCACTATTGCAAACTGCTAGCTAGTAGATCAAAGTCTTAGACGTATTTGAGTAATCTACATTACATTATCACAGAAAGTTTGGAAAAAGAACAGAGCTGAGGTATTTTAAGTATTTTTTTCTACTCCTCCCCAGACTCTGTTCCAGCCTCAGACGGGTGTATATCAAACTCTGGCCAAAGAGTGTGTGGCCCAAGGCTGCTGCGTAGACCTCTTCCTCTTCCCCAACCAGTATGTGGATGTGGCCACACTCTCAGTTGTGCCCCAGCTCACTGGTGGTTCAGTCTACAAATATGCTTGCTTTCAGGTACAATGTGGGATTCTGGGTAGCAAGTGGCAGCAGATCTAGGAGTGTGTTGCTTACATGTGGAGTGGCTATTCAGCTGCTGACTAATGAGTAAGAATTGTGCTGCTAGCGCAGTGACTCATGCCCTTGATCCAAGCTACTTGAGAGGGTTAGTCAGAATGATCACAGATTTGAGGCCAGCCTGGGCAATTTAAGGAGACTCAGTCTCAAAATTTAAAAAGGACTACAGGTGTAGCTCAGTATTAGAGTGCTTGCCTAGTGTGCACCAGGACCACCATTTCTATCCCCATGACCACAATTTAAAAAAAGAAAGAAAAAGAACTGTGCTGAAGGAGTATAAAGTGAACTGTGAGAATGTGGCAGTTAAAAAGTGGGTCTTTGGGGGGGCTGACAAGATAGTTCAGCTGTCTAAAGCTAGGCAAATGCAAGGACCACAGTTCAATCCCCAGCACCACATACTACACCAGCCCTGCCTCCAGGGCAGGCTGAGCTAGCTACAAAAGAAAAAAAAAAAAGTGGGTCTTGGAATCCAGTCCTAGGGCCAGAGAGATGGCTCAGTGGAATAAGCACTCCCTTGGCAAGCACAAGGGTATGAGTTCAATCCCCGGTTCCTCAAAAAAAAAAAAAAAAAAAAAAAACAAGGAATCCAGTCCTAGCCCCACCATTTGCTGGCTTTGTGACATAGGATAAATTACTTAGTCCTTACCTTGTTCTTTCATCTGTAAAATGGAGTTTTAATACTTATTAAGATTAGTGGAGGCGAGAGAGATGGTTCAGTAGAATAAGCACTTCCCTGGCAAGCACAAGGGCCTGAGTTCAATCCCCGGTTCCGCCAAAAAAAAAAAAAAAGATTAGTGTACAGAATTAAATAATGATATGTAAAGCATTCTGTGTGGCACCTGGCATGTACCTGGATGCTTAAAAGCTGTCACTGTCGTCATTATCATTCACTCTTGCTGTCATGATGAAGCAGGCTTGTGGAGTGGAGGGGGCAGGGAGGCTGACAACAGTGAGCTCTGTGCTCAGTGATGTGACTGTGGGCCTGGGGGACTGCAGGTGGAGAATGACCAGGAACGGTTCCTGAGTGACCTTCGTCGTGATGTGCAGAAGATTGTTGGCTTTGATGCTGTGATGAGGGTCCGCACAAGCACCGGTAAGTCTGGTTAAAGAGCAGGTGGCGGGCAACCCTCAGAGGAAGGCACATGGCACCTGTCATGCCTCTAGCTCTGACTGTATTGCTGTGGCCTCAGGTATCCGTGCTGTAGATTTTTTCGGCGCTTTCTACATGAGCAACACAACAGATGTGGAGCTGGCTGGGCTGGATGCAAACAAAACAGTGACTGTGGAGTTCAAGCATGATGATCGGCTTAATGAAGAGAGTGGAGCCCTCCTGCAGGTGGCAGGCAAAGGAGGCAGGGGCGGTTGAAGAAGTGTAGGGAAAAGGATGAGGGGTAGAAAGGACAGGAAGAAGGGCTAGGGGAGGAGTGGAGTTGCTCATGCCTTTCTTCGAGTTTTATAATATAGCAAAGGGGCAGCTGCTTCTGAGGATCTTTGTGAGGGAGGGTGTGAGCTCCCCCTTTCTCCCTCCCCTAGTGTGCCCTGCTTTATACCAGCTGTGCAGGGCAGCGTCGGCTCCGCATCCACAACCTGGCCCTGAATTGCTGCACCCAGCTGGCTGATCTGTATCGGAACTGTGAGACTGACACACTCATCAACTACATGGCCAAGTTTGGTGAGAGTGGAGGCAGGGTAGTGTGGGCTTGGGGCTGAGACATGGTCCAGGCTGCATTCCCAGGGAGGTGTGATGAGGAGAATGCACATGCGGTGGGTGGCTGACAGTGGTGCTACCTTTCTCCCCCCGCAGCATACCGGGGTGTCCTGAACAGCCCCGTGAAGACTGTGCGTGACACTCTCATCACCCAGTGTGCCCAGATTCTGGCATGTTACAGAAAGAACTGTGCTAGCCCCTCTTCTGCAGGACAGGTAGGGCAAGCACTTAGTGGAAGGGTGGGGGTAAAGTTTTGCATATGAGTGAGATTTCTCATGGTCATTGACTTTGATGAAACCCCCAGTTGATCCTTCCTGAGTGCATGAAGCTACTTCCAGTTTACCTGAACTGTGTGTTGAAGAGTGACGTCCTACAGCCTGGAGCTGAAGTCACTACTGATGACCGTGCCTATGTTCGACAGCTGGTTACCTCCATGGATGTGGCTGAGACCAATGTTTTCTTCTACCCTCGGCTTCTACCACTGGTGCGACTGAGGGTTGAAGTATGAGAGAGACACTGCTTTGAGAAAAGAACTTCCAGGAGGAGGAAGGGAGGCAGTTATCCAATATGTAAACTTGTTTCATTTCACACATAGTTACTGAGACTGCAGAAGAACTGGTGTCAGGGAACTTACTAGGCTATGTGTACATGTGGAAGGGAACAGGTGTGTCTGTGGTTCTTGGTGACCTTTTGCCTCTTTGCTTTTGTCTAGACAAAGTCTCCCATTGAGAGTACCACTGAACCACCAGCAGTTCGAGCATCTGAAGAGCGTTTAAGCAATGGCGATATATATTTACTGGAGAATGGGCTCAACCTCTTCCTCTGGGTGGGAGCAAGTGTCCAACAAGGTGTCGTCCAGAGCCTTTTCAATGTTCCCTCCTTCAGTCAGATAACCACTGGCTTGGTAAGAGCCTAGAATTAAAGAGTGTGGACGTAGTTTGTGGTGTGAGCAGGATCCTGTCCCTTTAGGTATCAGGCAGTACAGTATAGTACTTGTAAGGAGGGAGAGGGAAGGGTGCTGTCATTCTTCCAGGCTTCTTGCCAAGCAAGTGCTTATTCTATTGAGCCATCTCCCCGGCCTCTCTTCCAGGCTTCTTTCTGGTAATGTTTAACTGTGTTGTCCCTTCTTGACTGAACTCCAAGTACCTTAAGGACGAATTAATTTTATATTCCAGAGTGTCCTGCCAATTCTGGATAATCCACTGTCCAAGAAGGTTCGAGGTCTCATTGATAGTTTAAGGGCACAGAGAGCACGGTACATGAAGGTAACACTGATCTGAACCTTGAACGTCTCACCTTTCAAATTCTCACCAGGGAGGTAGCTGGGGAATGATTGTGGGTATGCTTGATTTCCTTTGGCCCTGCCTTACCACTCCACATTCTGGTCCTAGCTTACTGTGGTAAAACAGGAAGACAAGCTGGAGATGCTGTTCAAGAACTTCCTGGTGGAAGACAAGAGCCTGAGTGGGGGAGAATCCTACGTGGACTTTCTCTGTCATATGCACAAGGAGATTCGGCAGCTACTGAGCTAAAGCAAATGGGTAAATGGCACAGGGTCCCAGGCCAGCTTCCAGGAAGCACCCCAGGATGGCAGAGAAATTGGGACAGTTCCATATCTTATAAGTCATTGTAAGCTGACCTCAGTCTCTTTGTGGGGAGGGGGAGATATAAGGAGACACCTTCTTTCTGGGCTCAAGTATCCTACCACACTGTCATGTCCTGCTGATGGAAGGTGCCCCATCCCTCACTCTACCCTCCTTTTCCTGCTAATCCTGTCCTAATGAATGTAGTTTCTCAGTTCACTATATGATTTGGTGTTGGGGGTTTGGAGGCACCCAGACCCTGACAATGTGTCCTTCTGGACCAGCCTCCAAGAAGAGAAGCAGGTGGAAGCAAGGAGTAGGGATTCCAGAGTTACTACAGGGGGTGGCTAATTCAGCTCAGTGCCATCAACAACTTCCTATATTAGGGATAAAACATCCAGGTGCACAAGAGCTGGTGGACAGACCATAAGTAGGGGAGAGAAAAGTGGTCAGTACTGGGCCAGGAGGTCAGCAGCCAAGGGAGGGTGGTTAATTAGCTTTCTCTCTCTGCTCCCACTGCGTGTGCTCTCCCCTGCAATGATTGCTGATCACTTCGTGGACAGAGGCATGTTCTCAGAGACATGAATGAGCCTGGGAACTGAATTGCAAAGTGTATTATCACACCTGGGAGAGGTCCCAGCCTCCTTTCCAGCTGGAGAGGCACTGACACTGGATGGTTCTGTAGGGAGCCTGATCATCAACTTGCAATACCTCACAGAGCCAGCCCACATCTACGCAGCTCCCACTGGAAACACCGCTTCTCCAAGCCGGGGGTTGCTGGGGAGAGGCAGAAGCAGCTGGAGCCCTGTCCTTTCCCTCTGGGACACCACTTGGGTTTTGGTATGGACTGAATGGCTGACAGTAACTTTCCAACCCAACTGCCTGGGGCAGGACAAGGGCTAGAATGGACTGTGGCCAGGCTTGCCTGCTCCCAGCCTGGGTTGCCCCTGCTCTGGACCTCTCATTTCTCTTCATTGGTTTATTTTTCAATGCATCTTTAATTTGTAAAGAAATAAAATAAGTTGTAACCAGTAACGTCGTCTTACTCGGGATGGTCCCTGACCAGCCTTGCCCTCTGGTGGAGCAGAGTTGCGCATGCGCCGTGTGTCTCAGGCGTAGGACCTCGTCCCCTCGACTCACCGCTGGGCGGGGTCTGGTGCCATCTGAGGACGCCGGCTGCGGGAGTGGACATGGCGGCCGGCCGCGTCGGGGCCGTGCTGGCCGCCCTGGGGGTGCTCAGTGTGTGTGGGGCCAGCGGTGCTGGGTCCGCGGCGGCGGAGGAGGCGGCGTGGGCGGAACCGTGGGACGGCACGGTGTTCAGGCCGCCCTCGGCGCTGGGCGCGGTGAGGGTGTCGCGCCGGCCTGGGACCCCGCAGCCGGAGCAGGAGGAGGCCGTGAACTTGCCAGTGCTCCTGTGGTGGAGCCCAGGGCTGTTTCCCCACTTCCCAGGCGACTCCGAGCGCATCGAGTGCGCGCGCGGCGCATGCGTGGCGTCCCGAGACCGACGGATGCGGGCCGACTCGCGGACGCGGGCGCTGCTCTTCTATGGTACCGACTTCCGAGCTTCGGAGGCGCCGCTCCCGCGGCTGGCGCACCAGAGCTGGGCGCTTCTGCATGAGGAGTCTCCCCTCAATAACTTCCTGCTGAGCCACGGCCCGGGCATCCGCCTCTTCAACCTCACCGCCACCTTCAGCCGCCACTCGGACTACCCGCTGCCGCTGCAGTGGTTGCCGGGGGCTGCTTACCTGCGCCGCCCCGCGCCTCCGCTTTCCGAGCGCGCGGAGTGGCGCCGCTCCGGCTACGCGCCCGTGCTCTATCTGCAGTCCCACTGCGACGTGCCCGCCGACCGCGACCGCTATGTGCGCGAGCTCATGCGCTACATCCGGGTGCGTGCGGGCCGGCGGCCGCGGGGGTGGGGGCGGCGGGTGGAGGCTCCTGGGCCGGGGATGCGCTGCCGCGGGCCGGCTCTCCTGACGCCGCCCTGTGCTCCGCCTAGGTGGACTCGTACGGGAAGTGCCTACAAAATAAGGAGCTGCCAACTGCGCGGTTGCAGGACACAGCCACGGCCACCACCGAGGATCCTGAGCTCCTGGCTTTCTTGTCCCGCTATAAGTTCCACCTGGCCCTCGAAAATGCTATCTGCAACGACTACATGACCGAAAAACTGTGGCGCCCCATGCATCTGGGCGCTGTGCCGGTGTACCGCGGCTCCCCCTCTGTGAGGGACTGGATGCCCAACAACCACTCCATCATCCTTATCGACGACTTTGAGTCCCCTCAGAAACTGGCGGAGTTTATTGACTTTCTGGACAGAAACGACGAGGAGTATATGAAATACTTGGCCTACAAACAACCCGGGGGCATCACCAACCAGTTCCTCCTGGATAGCCTGAATCAGCGGGAGTGGGGAGTGAACGATCCTCTACTTCCTAACTACCTTAATGGCTTTGAATGTTTCGTCTGTGACCATGAACTGGCTCGACTAGACGAGGAGAAGGCTCATGCAGCCTCTCTTGGGGACATCCCTGTCCCTGAGCCTCACATTGCTCAGCCGTCACACATGGACTGTCCGGTCCCCACACCTGGCTATGGCAACGTGGCAGAGATTCCTGAGAATGACAGGTAGGGGTTGCTGGCATTGCCCTGAGCAGCTGTCAGACCAAATGACTTATTATTTGCTTACTGTGAGCCAGAAACTAACTAGCACTAGGTATTGAGGGGAGCAGGAGGAAATCATGACATGGGCTCGTTCTGCCTGCAAGGTGTGAAGTAGTTTATGAGGCAAACTGAAAAAGATAAAGATAGGAAATAGAGGTAAGTGACAACATATGAAAATCAGCTTGTGTGAACAATGTTTGCAATAGGAGGCCAAAAGGTTTGAATCCCAGTGGAGGGCCTGTGTGGGAAAGTGATGAGGGAGAGAGAAGGTTGGGTAGATGAACTGGGCCAAGGCCGTTAAGTAGCTCAAAATTTTGGAGTAGACACAGAATTCCGGGGAGATAGCTCAGTGAAATGAGTGCATGGTCCTGAGTTTAATCCCTGGTACCACCAAAAATGAAATAAAATAAAATCAACCTCATGGTCAGGTGCCATAATCTCAGCATTTGGGAGGTTGAGGCAGGAAGATCGCCACAAGTTTAAGGCCGCCTGTACTGCATAGTGAGATCTTGTCTAAAAATAAAACCCTCCACTTCAGCTACTTGAGCACCTTCTGTACTGTATGGTGGGAGTGGGGCTACAAAGATGCACCTTTTTTCATAATTTATGGTACTAAGAATGGAATCCAAGGCCTCTCAAGTGCTAGGCAAGGGGCTGGGGAGATGGCTCAGTGGAATAAGCGCTTCCCTGGCAAGTGCAAAGGCCTGAGTTCAATCCCCGGTTCTGCCAAAAATTTTTAAAAAATTAAATAAATAAAGAAAAATAAAAAACAAATCAGCCAATTCAAGTGCTAGGCAAGCACCTCTGAACCACATTCCCAGCCTAGGATGAGATGAGCATTTTGAAAGTGGTATTTTGTTTTTTAATTTGATTTGAGTGCTACTAGAGATTGAACCCAGCACCTTGCACATTCTAGGCAGGTGCTCTGCCACTGAGCTACATCGTTATCTCTTCAGTCTCTCTCTTTTTTTTGGTGGTACCAGGAATTGAACTCACAACCTCATGACCTCACACTTGCCTGACAGGTACCATGCTGCTGAGCTATATTCCTGACCTTTCACTCTCTTTTTTAATTTTTTAAAACTTATTTATTTATTTATTTGGTACAGGGTCTCACTATGCATCTTGGACTCATAGTGATCCTCCTGTCTCAGCCTCTGCCAGCTCTGGGATTACAGGTGTGTGCTGTCACGCTGGGTTCCGGAGCCAGCATGGCATGCGGTTCCAGGGACTGAACCTGGGTCTTTGTGCTTGCCAGGCAGGCACTTAGACCACCAAGCTATATCCCCAGCCCCTCTTTTTTTTTTTTTTTTTTTTTTTGGACAAGGTCTCACTGTGTAACTCAGGTTGGCTTTTAATTCCTGACAGTCCGTCTGCCTCAGGCTCCCAAGTGTTGGGATTGTTGGGATTATAGGTGTGTGCAACCATGTGTATGTGTTGGTACTGGGAATCCAACTCAGGACCTTGCCCTTGCCAGGCAGGTGCTGTGCTGCTGAGCTATATCCTTGGCTTTCTTTCACTCTTTTTTTTTTTT